TTCTGAGGAAGAAATTGTGATTAAGAAAGTGAACAAATGGAACAACGCTGCTCGACAAGCTCAGCTCAGCGCTCGCTTCTCATCAGGATACATAGATTCTTTGTTGCTTGGTACTCCGTTGAAGCGGCAAGTGATCGCGCAGCCACTGACTAGTGAGGAGTTTGAACGCCGTAAAACTACTGCGAAAGAGAGGCTGGTGAAAGATGCTGAGATGGAAAGACGAATGGCAAAGACAGGAAAGGATCCCTCCGAGAAAGCTGACAGTGCCAAACCTGGAAAGGAGAAGAAAGAGAAGAAGGGCGGCAAGGGCCAGCAGTCGTCTGGCAAGGCTGAGGCGATCAAGGCTGAGGCTGAGAAGAAGAGGCTGGAGAAAGTGGAAGCCAACAAGCGGGCTAACTTGGACCACGTGATCAAGCATGCGCCTAAAGACCTCAAAACAGACAATGAGGCGCTTCTGAAGCATCTTGAGGAACTCAGAGTTTGCGCTCAGCAGTGTATCAATGACAGCGCCCCGTCGATAGCGATTGAGGCCGAAATGACAGCTCTTGGGCATGTGCTTGAGGCCATCAAACGCGACAAGAAGGAAGACCTGCTCGTCAAGCGGCACATCAAAAACGCTTTCGTCATATTGCAGCGCATCTTGGTCACTTGCAGATCAAACGTTACCGGCGAGAAAGCCGACGATCTTGTCGAAGCAGCAATCTCCCTAGGATTTGATGATCTTGCCAAGGCTATTGAGGACATTGGCAAGGGAGATGGGGAAGGCGGAGGTGATGGGAAAGAGAAGAAAGACAAGAAAGATAAGAAGGTAAGTCCCTCGTATTGTTGATGCTTTGATGGTGTTTTGCCTGTGATGTGTTTCCTTGCGTGACTGACGTATTGCCAAGGATAAGAAGGACAAGAAAAAAGACAAGGACGATGACGACAAGAAGTCGAGCAAGCTTCCGAAGAAGCTCGTCCAGCTGCCTGAGCAGTCTGCGATCCGATATCAGGTTGCCGTTGCTCCTGAGCACTTGAGAAGGCCAGCTGGAGTAGAAGGAGACGAACGCGTGCCTTTCAAGCCTGACGACTGGCAGCGAAAGCTGTTAGACATCATTGACTCGGGCAACTCAGCCCTCGTGGTGGCCCCGACAGCATCTGGCAAGACTTTCATTGCCTACTATGTGATGGAGATGTGCCTTCGAGCAAACGATACGGATGTTGTAGTCTATGTCGCTCCGACATCAGCGCTGGTCGATCAGGTTTATCATGAGATTCAAGCTCGCTTCACCAAGCGCTATAACGGCGACATGCATCTTACGGGAATATTCAACACTTCTTATCGGAAGGAGCATCTCAAGTGTCAGGTGAACCTCTTGCCTGCTTTCTTCTTTCCATCTCACCAATTGTTCCCTTCTTCGCTTTCTTTCCGCATGCTCACGTTGGTTTCATCATTTGTTGTCCCTTCTTTGCACCCCCTTCCATGTCCTCTTATGAGTTTTCTCATTTTCGCCCAAAGATTCTGGTCGCTGAGCCGGAGTGCTTGGAAATTATGCTGCTGGATCCTGCCAACTCTGAGTGGGCCAAGGGGATACGCCACATCATCTTCGATGAAGTTCACTCGGTCGGAATGGTGGGGGGAGAGATTTGGGAGCGTATGCTCCTTTACACCTCCGCCCCCTTCATCGGCCTCTCCGCTACCCTTGGAGACATCGGGCGGTTTCGAGACTGGCTGTCGGATGTGGAGAAGAAGCGAGGGCGGGAGCTACACTTCGTACATCACAACGAGAGGTACAACGACCTGGCCCCCTTCATCTGGACCAACAGGTATGTCTTGCTGCTTCGATCGCAACTAAATCTCTGCTGCACAGAGAGAAGCTTGAGGACCAGATCGTCATGCTGCATCCTCTATGGGCGATCAACCGGCTGCTGACTGAGAGCAAGAGGTTTGAGTTCCCGTCAGACATGAAGCTGCTTCCCGAGCACTGTGCTCAGTTGTATGATGCCATGGCAAAAGCGGATGACAGTAAGGAGCTCAAGGACCTGTCGCCACAAAAGTACTTCCAGAAGCTATCTGATCCCTGCTTCAATATCAGCATGAGGGACGCAAGGGGCTGGGAGCTTGAGCTCAAGAAGTACTTCTGCTCCATGACCTACACCACGCAGAAGAAAGTATTGCAGGATATCATTCAAGCTACAGAAAACGCATGCAGCCACATCGAGACTCAGCTAACGAACAAGTCGGAGAGCAACTACCTCACTGAGTCCATCCTGCCCATGGCGAGATCTCTCCAGAAGGCTGACATGCTTCCTTGCATCGTCTTCCACATGATCCGTGACAACTGCGTGAGATTTGCCACGGCCCTAGAGAGCCAGCTGCGCAAGGAAGAGGAGCAAGCGCACCTG